GTCACTGGGATTTGAACTCTAGACCTGCCACTTGGGGGTTGACAACCTATCCACTTCACTAGGTCACCACACCCCTTGAATAATCAGTTATGTAATATTCATATTACAGCAACTGTTATTAATAATTAAGTTAAAATATCTGTAATAGCAGTTATATTAGTATGACTGGCAGGTTATGAGATATCTGTATAAGTATGACATTACACAGAGGAATGCAAACTGACAAATCAGGCAGTGCAAACACTAGATAAGTCCTTGTAACTGTATAAATCCATTGAAATTGAGTAACAAGAAGTCTATTTGGAAAGACCCAAGTAAAGAGGTAGCTGGATCTTTGATGACTCTACTGTAAAGGCTAGCTCAGGTAAACAGATACCAAGGTCGTAGTATCTGGTCGTAGTAGCTGGACGGACAAGAACCTCTGGGTTGAGAGGCTTAGAGGTATCACCAACCAGGCTATCAGAACAAACTGAAGGAAAAGAATATTGAGTTAACCTGATATATCGATGAACTGGTTATAGTCTTACATGGGCTATCTGAATTAAAAGTTTGGTAAAAAGGCTGGACAAAAAGCAGGATTATACTAAAATACCAGAGTTATGCTATAAAGTAGATGCTAAGATCTAAGTGAACTCTACAAAGACATAGCAGTTTAATGGTTAACCTTGACCACAAGTGTTAGTTTTGCCATAGTGATATCTAGATCAATTGTAAAAATAAGTACAGAAGGCTCTAGAGGGTTTACCTCAAGGATAAATTAATCCTAAAGTTGAGGACGATGATCTGGTACATCTGAGATAACCAGTGATGTTAATACAGCTTACAGGTTCAGAAGGTTTAAAGTGAAACACCCAAGCAGAGATGTTAAGTACAGCAATTGATAGAAAATCTTCAGGCAGACTCCTTAAATAGATAATATAAAAAAGTTATATGTGTAGCCAATTGTATGCTCTCCTGTAGTAGTTCATTGAATTACAATACCAATAAGTGATTAATAAAAGTTAAAAGACCAAAAAGGTTATCTTAAAAAAAAAAAAAAAAAAAATTAATAAATTCTTTAATTAATTTAATTTAAAAATAAACAATTTATTATACCTTTAATCTAATTACTATTGAATTTAATATTTAAATAAGTTTTAAACTAAGGTTTTTTATTAATTACTTTTATTAAATAAAATTACATTAAATGACATTTAACTTCTTATATTGTTCTGCAATATAAAATAAAATTTTTTGCATATAACAAATTTTTAGAAAATGATAAACAAAATCTTAGTTAAGAAACTTTTTATATACTTACTATTATGTATTATAATTAATAAAGTACTGTTAGGAAGTGTGACAACTTAGTAAAGTGGATAGGTTGTCAACCCCCAAGTGGCAGGTCTAGAGTTCAAATTCCAGTGATAGCGAAAATTTGTAATTCTTTCTGTGTTATGGCTAACTATCTTCTGTGATTAGTTGGGATAAGATACCTATAATTTATATCATACCAGCATAACTGAAAGGTCTAAGGCACTTGTACAACATTGTACAAAAGAACACAAACCAGTACTGGGCGGTGTGAACCCAAGATAAGTCCTTAGGCCATGTAAATCAAGGGAAACAGGTAGGAAAATGAAAGCCTACTTGAAAAACCCAAGTAGAGGGGTAACCTGAACCTTCGATAGTGCTACTATAAAGACTAGACTTATGAAATGGAGCTAGAACTTGTGAAACTAGGCAAATTTGCTAGTCTTTGAGAAAAGACCAGATGAACTAACCAGGCTGCTGGAATTTTCAGGTTCTGGAGAAAAAAAGCACATGTTGACAAACATGTGAACCAAAGGTGTATAATTTTGACCTACCTTTCTGGGTTATCTGGAATGACAGCTTGGTAGAACTTGAATTGAATATCAAAGTAATAAGGATATGTTGTGAAGTTAGTACCGGGGTTGGGGTGAATTCTACAAGAACATAGCAGTTTAATGGTATACCCTGACCACTAGTGTTGATCTCGACCATAGCAATACCAAGTTAGCTGTAAGAATAGGATACAAAAAATTCTAGAAGGTTTAGTACAAGGTCAAAAGTTCCCCATGTGAGTGAACCGCTTTAAAGACTTAGTGACCATAGCATATTTGAATTGGTATTAAGTGTAAGTAGATGGGTGAATACAAGAACAAAGTGGTTAAATAGGAAACCTACAAGTGGGTTCTAGGTATGGCAGCTAGTATAAAACCTTTAGATGGACTACTTAAATTAAACAATAACTAAAGTTGTACAAGTGGCTCGTTGTACACTCTTTCCATAATTGCCCCCTATGGTTGTAATGCAACCATTAGCTGAATGTACTATCAATAAAATCCTGGATCGCAAATACTCACCTTAATATTTAAAAAAAATAAAAAAAAATAAAAATAAAGTACTGTTAAAGTTCTTGTTATATACACATAATAAAAATTTAATGCTTTAACTTCAATTCCATCTTTTACTAATCTTGTTTTATTTTTATTTTTTTTACGATTTTTGTACATTATTAATTTGATTAAAATCTTGATCACGTTACTCCAGTTTCGCATTCTAATTGGTAAATTAAAGACATATCAATATAAATTAGTCAAATCGATATAAATCGATATTTTTGGTCCATGTACTGGGGTAGTTTGTTTGTCCGGCCACATCACGTGAATATCATCCAATCAAATCGCAACACATATATATAGTATATATAATTTAATACTTGCTCCAGACATACAATGTTATGCATTTACCTAGTAATTTACTGTGTTTTATGATATAAATCTATAAGAGAAATTATTATATTGTACATTAATAAATTTAAATTGTGATATTGTATAAATTTCTAGTTAATATACTTAACAGGTATAAGATGGTTATTGCGTAATTTTATAAATTTGTGTGCCTTCCTTGATAAGTAAATTTAGACATGTAAAAAATTTAAAGTATTAATATCACTTTTCCCACTTAGGTTTCCTTTTCTTTTTGAGTTGTCTATAATGCTTTCTTCCCCCACTTTGCTTCGACTGTGAAAATGCTAATGATTTAATGTATGATACATAAATATATCAATTGCAAACATTACACACAATTAAGCACCTTTTGAATTTCTAAAAATTTGCGTTTATAATATTGCTTTGACTCCTCGTCTGCCATTAGCTCATCAACTATTGTTTGCTTTCTCTCTTTGCGTGGCAATCGTGATGAATAAAACTCCGTTGGCCCTTCAATAACTGTTCCAATCTATAGGTTTAAAGTAGTAAAAATATATACGTTGAAAAAAGTTTGTCAAATATTAATACTAGTAAGCACAGTGAGTAAAATAATATCCAATTATTTATACCTGAAAATATTTTGGGATACCCTTTGAATTGTCCTTTTTATAAAACCGTTTCGGATCAAGAACATTTCTCATTTTTATCACTTGAAGATCTCGCTTTATTTCAGGTGTCAATTCAGGCTTTGGCATATCAAACCATCCCGGTCCTGCTGTCGCTTCTCGGAGCTATAAAATTTAAATTCTGTTATTGTCCTAATTACTAACAGTATTCGTTGAAATTCGAGCCTTTGAATCAGTGTAACTATGACTAATATTATAACTAGCATTACAGACGGAACTCAAAAACTGAATTCAATTATCCGCTATAGAAATCAAAATTGTTCCATATCATCATTTTTTTTCAATTAGAATTCATATATAATCAATAATTACCTTTTGTCTTTCTTTTCTACTAAGCTTCTTTGTTGATATTTCTGCTGCCATGATTTTTTTTAAAATCGTTAAGAACTGTCTTATCGTTATCGTTATATACAAAAAATTTATGCACATGATCAAGCCAATTAAATTGCGAGATCGACATTCGTCTGATTGGCTAATGCTGTCTACATATCGACTCAAAAAACACCTTGGATATTTTGATACCCACATACGTATTTAAATATAGGCCGTTTTCCCGAAAATTTGCTTACCCATTATTTAACCAATCGTTCGATCCTTAACTATCCGAAAATACTCAACCATTTGAACAAATCTTCTACAGCTTAGAATGCTACTCATTTTTTATTCATTCTAACTTATTTATGTATAAATTTGTGAATTCTCAGATTTGTTATCTTTGCAATTGAGTAAAGTATAAAGATTCTATGAATTTAACAATAACTCAAATGCAAGTTATTGTCTGGAGCGTGTTTAATGTTTAGTCATTATGATACAAAAGTTACATTTTTGATGCATCAATAGTTACGTTTTTGATTAAACTCGTAATTTTGAAATTCATGTCTGTCCGTATAATTAGTGATAGGACCTCCTTAATTAATAATAATAATTATTATTCGGCAGCTTAATATGATTTATATGTCAAATAATTTTATTATTGGGCAGAAACGAATGTTTAAAATAGTTTAAAATAGTTTAAATTTTGTATCTGCCCAATAATTTTATTAGTATATATATTCAATTATATAATATTAAAATTTTAGCTAATTTGAATAATTTGTTTGAGAAATTGCTTGTAAATGATAATTAATTTTTTTAAAAAAATCACCTATCATTTACAAGTGATTTCTCAAGAACAAATTATCTAAATTGGTTAAAATTTTAATATTATATAGTTGAATATATATACTATATATAGTAAAAATTTGAGTCAATTTGGATTAGTAGTTAT